TTAATGTCCAATTTAGAGACTATAAACTTTGAATACGTTTGTTCTTTTTCGATAGTTACTTCTTTTAATAATTTATAAAGATGAATGTTTTCCGACTTACGGCAGATTTAATGCACTTATGTTCCATTTTCATTTTGTTACTAAAAATTCAGAAAACGCGATCATGTGCTGGTAGGTTATTACATTTACATACTTGGTTTAATGAGAGCGTTTGTACCAGGTCATCACAAGTTCGTAGCAGTTAAGAATTTAGGAATTTGTGTCCTCTTATTTTGAATAATTCAAACGCTCGAATATAAATGAATTTTGTTTTTTGATTAGAAACTAAAATAGTTCGTCGTCTATTATATTAATTCATAAAATTCTCAAATTACTTTGATACTTTTCTTTTTAGGAATTTCTTTTAAAACTCAACTTCTCTATGCAATAGTTTTTGTTACTCGATATCTCGATCTTCCTAAATTGATTTCATTGTATAACACTTTAATGAAAGTCTTTTTTATCGCCTCGTCGATTTATATTTTGTATTTGATGAAAATGAAATTTAAAGCGACATATGATCCTAGTCTGGACACTTTTAGAATAGAGTTCTTATTGGGTGCATGTTTATTGTTGTCACTAGTATTTAACTATACCTTTACGTTCATTGAGGTATTTTAAGGTGCCAATTTTTAATACATATGTTGTAAATGAAGTCGGAATCTATGTGTATTTGGAATTTTTTAAGATTTTAGGGTTAGGATACCCAAAATTCTAATTTTGCTTAAGGAATTCCATATCCATTTAATTTCTACTCTCACTTACAACATATATGTATAAGGTTTTGTTGGATTATAATAGTAATAATTTATTATTATAGGTTCTCTGGACCTTTTCGATTTATCTTGAAGCTGTTGCAATTCTTCCACAGCTTTTTATGTTATCTCGTACAGGAGAAGCTGAGACTATTACAACTCATTACTTGTTTGCGTTAGGTGCATATCGTACCCTCTATTTATTGAATTGGATTTGGAGGTTTTACACTGAAACTCATGTGGATTTAATCGTATGGGTCGCTGGTATAATTCAGACTGCTTTATATAGTGACTTCTTTTACATTTATTATACAAAGTAAGTTTTAGTTTCATTATCAAGTTTCTTTTATTTGGGTTGATACATAACAAAATGGTGTTTAGAACCAAGATACATATATATATATTTGTGTGTGTGAAATTTGCAATAACGGTTTTATTCAATGATTACTATCTCAACTTGTGAAATAAGATCAATAATTTTATCATATAGAAATACCATAAAATAATTGCTTTGTTTTATAGGCTGATCATAGTAAATCATTGAAGATCATACCATACAAAATATTGGGATCCTATCATTTTTCCGGCAAGTTCGCCCGCAATTCTGACTAATTTTTGTCGGGAAAATGATAGAGATCCCAAAATATTTGGGTATTGTCCATGACAAAAAAAAAGTCATGTAAACTACCCGAGTATCTTAAGCGGAGGTATTAG